GAACCAAACCCAGGGCTTTGTACCTGCTAATAAACAAGTATTCCACCAACCGAGCAAAGGCCCAGACATGTTATTTAAGATTTTCTTTAAGGTTCTTTTGCTTTATTTTTTGGTTTTATTTTTCTCACTATGTAGCTCATGGTAGTCTCTACTCAGTAACTCTGCCTCTTCCTTCAGAGTGCCAGGGTTACAGAGTGCTACCATGTGCTTCAGACATGTTTTAGATACAGATAGGTGTAAGTGTACAAGGGGGATAATTTTTTTTTTTTTTTTGGGTCTGGTTTGTTTGAAATTATGTGCTTCCAGTACAGATAAAAAGAAAATGATTATAAAGTGAGAATAACCTTTTTCTTAGATTGCCTAAGGAAACTTATTGTAGGCTCCTCATAAAGAGGAAAAATTATTATAAAGTGTAAGACTTTACTGTGATCCAGAATCACAGGTAAGTCCCCGGAGTGACTGTTACTAGTAATTCATGTTAGTAGAATTGAAGAGATAGATAGTAAGTATGCTAGGGTAACCTTGAATTCCCATTGCAGCTCATGCTGGCTGCACACTTCCAGTTCTCCTGCATCAGACACCTGAATGCTAACATTATAGGTATGTACCCCTACACCTGGCTTTTAGCCAGACGTCTCACATGACATTTTGTCTAGTTCCTTAATTACTCATTAAGAATCAGTGATTTGGGGTGGAGAGATGGCTCAGAGGTTAAGAGCACAGGCTGTTCTTCCAGAGGTCCTGAGTTCAATTCTCAGCAACCACATGGTGGCTCACAACCATCTATAAGGAGATCTGGTGCCCTCTTCTGGTGTGCAGGCAGAACACTGACTGTATAAATCATAAATAAATTAATCTTAAAAAATAAAAATAAAAAAATCAGTGATTCAGGGCTGGGGATATAATTCAGATATGGTACTTTCCTGGAGTACACATTTGATTTACTCCCCAATACTGCAAAAATAAAGAAATATAAATTTTTAGGTGACTGCATTCATGTGTAACCATTGTTCTCATAGAATAAGTCACTTGCCAGTGTTAACAGTTTGTGTATGCTAGAAAATACATCCACAGGATTGCCAGTGGTACTGAGGAAGGCAGCAAGATGTGGTTCACAATCATTTAACCTTCTTAGCCTTTTTTGCTGGGCTTCCCCCAACTTCTGATTTGAAATTTTCAAATTTACAGAAAAGTTGGGACTACCCTTAACCTTCACTAACAAACTGTTAGGATTCTGCCACATTTTCTTTGACTTTGCATACTTGCAATGCGTATGTGCCTGTGTGTATGTGTGTTTGCTTTCCAGACTGTTTGAAAGTTAAAACAGTTTACCTTAGCCCCACACACTTCCACCTACCTCTCCTAGGAACAAATACATTCTTTTCATGTAACCAGTAACTCTGTTGCCTTCTCTGAGACAGTCAATAAAGTCATAATATCTAAGAGCCCAGATTCCAGTTGACTTTAAAATTTTATAGTGTCAAGAATCTAACCAAGAGTCCTGCTCCCATCAGTTGCTTTGCCTCGTCCATCTCTTTCAGTTCTTTAATCTCTCTCTCCCTGTGTTTTGTTTATTTTGTTTGTCTTGAGACAGTCTTACTCTGTAGCTGAGGCTAACCCACATCTCGCTGTATAACCCAAGCTAGCCTCCAACTCATGGTCCTCCTGTTTCTGCCTCCTGAGGCACAATGTAAACACTAGTCAGTATCAGTTACCAGTGGATTTTTTTTTAAGGTTTTTATAAAATGATCCTTTTTGAATAGTCCAAGTCAGCTAGCTGTATTACACAATATCGCACGTCCTGGATTTGTCTATTTTTAACCCAAGACAGTTTCTCTGTATAGTCCTGGGTGTCCTGGAACTCACTTTGTAAACCAGGCTCAAACTCACAGAGATCCACCTGCCTCTGTCTCCCAAGTGCTAGGATTAAAGGCAAGTGCTACCATACCGCCACCCAGCTTTTTTTTAAAAAAAAATTTTTTTAATCTTTCTATTGTTTGATTTTTGAAGTTGTAATTATATTCAAAAGAAACATGTTTGCAGAGAGGGGAATATACTGTTTTGTATAATATATGTAATATTAGGCTGTCTACTAATCAGAAATACTAAATTTGATCACTAGCAGAAATTTGAGTCTTCCTCAGGTAAGTCCAGATTCAATGTTGTAAGTTTCTTCTTTTATCATTAACCATATATCATTATTGTAATTTTCTCACTCATGTCTTATTAACAAGAAAAGGGCCAGACATGGTATTCTAGACCTGTTGTAATCCTACCTCTGTGGGAGCTAAGGCAGGAACAATGCTTGCCATGGATTTATATAGTACCATGAGTTTATATAACCTAGGCTATATAGTGGGTACTAGGCTACGTTATTAGACCCTTATCCAAAGTAAATTTGGGGGGGCAGTAATTATTCTTTTGTAGAAATAATGGTGGTTATACATTAGCAGTAGGTAGTATTCACTGTCTGTCCCAAAGTAATCATTTCCTTCTGCTTTCCTTTTTACGATTGGTTAGAAAATTTTGGCAAATTGGCTGCTAGTAAATACCTCATAGCTTGAGTAAAATAAGAGTATCAATAAGATGAATCTTGTTTTGTTTTCCAAGGATTTCTCTGTGTAGCTGTGGCCATCCTGGAACTCACTCTGGAGACCAGGTTGGCCTCAAACTCACAGAAATCTGCCTGCCACTGCCTCCTGAGTGCTGAGATTAAAGGCATGAGCCACCACACCCAGCTTAGATGAATATTTTTGAGCCATTACTATGTCTTGTGGCTCTGGGCTGAACTCTTACTGCATGGTGACTCCAGTAGAGTAATATCACTGTTTCCCCATTTTACAGACTAGGAAACAGGTACAGAAAAATTGAAGATCTTGCCCAGACACCCACAGCCAATACAGTTAGAATTCAAACCCATGGCTACCTAATTTTTTACAGATTTATTTATTTATTTTATGTGCCTGTATGCACTTCTGTTTGAGGTTGTTGGTCCCTCTGGAACTGGAGTTACAGACAGCTGTGAGCTGCCATTATGGGTGCTGGGAGTTGAACCATGTCCTCTGGAAGAACAGCCAGTGCTCTTAACTGCTAAGCTATCTCTCCAGTCCCTGCTGCCTAATTTTAGAACTCAGTTCTTACTTACTGTTTCCTACTTCCTCCAATATTATTTACAAGGTATCTGCCCCATCCATTCCTTATGTAATTCTCACATCAGTCTGTAAAGACAGTCTCAAGTAGATGAAGTTATTACCCAATACCATAAGCTATCTGAACCATTTATCCTATTTTGTGGTTCTTTCCCATGTTTCAGCCAAGATCTTTAACAACAGAATGGTTTGTGCGGGGTCCCTTTTCCCACTCCCCAGCACCCACATAAGCAGGAATCATGTGCTGGAAATGAAACCAGGTGGCAGAAGCAACTGTACAAGCAAGACAAGCCTGATCGGGTCCACATGAACCAGATGACAGGAATGAGAGCCATCATTTACAGTTCGGGGACCATCAGTGAGAAATGGGATGACAGTAACCCTGAAATAAAGGCCATTGAAACAAGACTGGTTTTCCAAGGAAAATTTGTCCTTACCGCCTTCCTTCTCAACAGAGAAGGTGTAGCAGTCTTGTTTGAGTAACTTCAAACCAGTGATCAAAGCCATGAAGAAATTTTCTGAAGGAAAGTGTGATTATTTATGGTTTCTGGTGCCCATTCCTGGTTTCTTTTTGAGAATTTATTTTTTAAATCACCATTACCCAGTTTACAATTATGTAGTATAATAAGCAAACTGAGAGTGGTAGAAATTACCCACCATGGTCAAGGGAGAGAATTAGTTAACCTTAATACATTAGCTGTACAAGATTTGTAGGATTTTTTTGTTTTTAAAGCTTTGGCTTTAAAGCTTTGTAGACTAGGCTGGCCTCAAACTCACAGAGATCCTCCTACCTCTACCTCCCGAGTGCTGGGATTAAAGGCATGTGCCATCCACTCCCAGCTCCGTTATTTTTTTAATAAGATCTATACACATTTTTTGAAAAATGAAAGAATCTGTGGACAGACACAGGTGAAAGCCATAAAAGCCCACAGACCCTAACTGAACCCTTGGTTAAGTCATTTGTTAGTGTTCCCATCCATTAAAAGAGAATAATTGGAGCTGGGGGACAGCAAGGTGGCACAGTAGGTAAACGCACTTCACACCAAGCCTGATGACCTAAGTTCAACAGCCAGAAAACACATAGTAGAAGGAGAGAGCCACCTCCTGTAAGTTATCCTCCAACCTCCAATACACACTGCTTGCGTTTATTTGTTTGTTTGTTTGTTTGTTTGTTTGTTTTTGAGACAGGGTTTCTTTATATAGTTCTGGCTGACCTGGAACTCACTCTGTAGACCAGGCCAGCCTCAAACTCAGATCTGCCTGCTTCTGCTTCTCCAGTGTTTGTATTAAAGGCGAGCACGACCACCTCCCAGCTTTTTTGTTGGTTTTTTGTTTTGTTTTGTTTTTTTTTTTTTCAATGCAGTTTGTGCTAAGATAGCCTGTCCCTTACAATCCCAGCACTGGAGGAGTGGAGGCTTGGGAATCTCTAGGTTTCACTGGCCAGCCAACCTAGCCTAATCAGCAAGCTGCATGTACCTGTGAGAGACCCTTTCCCAAAATAAAGTGGAAAGTTCCTGAAGAATAACACTAATGTTAACCTTTGACCCTTGTGGGTGTGTGCATACACACGCACCCTCACACACACACAGAGTGTAACAGAGTGCTAAGCATAAAGTAGGCACTCAATATGAAACTAATTGTCATCATTGTATGGTTATATCATGCTAACAAGATGTAGGTCTAGGAACCCTCCCTAAATCAGAACAGTGTTCCCTTAACCCAATAAACACACATTTCCACACGCTGCCTGGCTACAACCTAAGTGTGAAACCTAATCTCCCCTAATCTATTGTAGTGGAGGCAGGAATTTCATACAGCCATGGTATTTATCGAGGTCTGTCTCTGTTTCAGGTGGTCAGCTCAACCAACGGAGAGCTGAATGTTGATGACCCCACTGGAGCTCACTCAAATGCACCAATCACAGCTCATGCCGAGGTGGAGGTAGTGGAGGAAGCTAAGTACGTTCATCTTTCAGAGGGGTTGTGTGTCTCTCAGAGGGCTTGTCTTCACTGGTTGGAAAATCTCTTCTGTCTCCTATATGCTGCTCGTCACAGACTGGGTTCTTCAGGCTTGTGTCCACAGCTTCCTCCTGACCATTGTGGTTTGTTGCATGCTGCATTAAGGCTGCTGCCACCCTTCTTTAGCACTGATTTCTGGGCAGATCGTTATCTAAAAGAATGGTGTGGTGAAAGCTACAATAGATAGTAGCCATGAGTTTCTCGGCAGCTCTAGAGCTTCTTGCTCCCTACCTGTTACGTGTGAAACCATGGGCTTTGGTATATAGTATCATATTTCTAACTGTTGCCTAACCACTCCAGGTGGATGGCCATGAATAAAAAGGGTTTGAGAGTCATTTTGCTGTCTTTGAAACAGTCTGGGCTTAGAAAAACTAAGTAATTTTCAGGCAAAGCAAGACAATTGTGCTTGTAAATATGAGATTCTTGGGACAGCAAAGTGACCCTGACCCCAGGAAAGTGAAAGCATTTAGTTCCTCACCTCCTCTTCTGGTTATCTTGCATGTATGTGTCTTGCTGTGCTCTCCTGCTAGCCCCTTGGTGCTTTTTGCATGGTCTGTGTTTAAACTCTGAGATTCTGGGCTGGAAGGTACTACTGATTCTGCTGTACAAACAGCATTTCTTCTACCACGCCTATTCCTTTTTTCCCTATCCCAAACTCAGATCCAGGTTTTAACTTCAAGAAGACATCAGGTAGGGAAAACTAGAGAAACATGAGTCAGTAACTACTGCCAGTCCTGGGGCAAGCAACATATTTCTAGTACAAACAGGACATGCTTATACCTCTGGGCATCAGTCAGTGTCACCAAGCACTTCAGTCTTTTTTTCCAGATGTACTTGGCATGGTTGTACTCCCGTCTGTCTATTTGGTAAACTCACTCATGCTTAACAGATGAAAAAGCGAATGAGGGTGACAGGCTCTATTTTGTTGATACCTATAGACAAGGGGTGGATTAGGAAGGTGATGCCAGGAGGAGACTATTTTAGTAATTAATCACAGTCCTATTTCTCAGGGACTTGGGAGATTTTAATGGTGCTTATAATTTTTTCTTTCATTCTCAATAAATTATATGATATAATATTCCCATTTTCTGAACTCTCACTTTGGAATCTCCTAGAAAATATAGATACTTCTGCATGGACCCAGAGATTTGAGGTTAATTTATTAGTATCTAGCCTGGTAATGAAAATACTTTATTTAAAAGTTAAGGGAATTCGAACATGCAGCCAAAATTGGGTACACTCTGCATGTTGTGATCTTGAAAGAGAGCCATGCCTTTTCCCAACTCACCCCACCTTTCTCCCCATCTCATATTTGTACTTATTCTTTTTAGAAATTTATATCTGAATCTAATGCTATACTGTGAGCACCAAGTTCATATGAATTTTAGCCTTAGGTCCTAAACAAATTTATATTTCAGACCTATTCATTTCATTTCATTTTAGTAAATGTATGCATTAACTGTGTGTGCGTGTGGTGTTTGTGTTCAATGTGAAAGATAGAGGCCACTCATACAGAAAGAGTTCAGTTGAGTGTGTTCTGTTTTGTCATAGTCTAAACACTAGAATATAAAGAGAGGTGAATGTCTTCCCATTAACAGAAAGGACCATTATACCCCTCCCTTCCAGCTGCAGGTTTAGGCCTTCTGAAAAACATAGAAACTAAAAGAGAGCAGTTGCCTTTGACCAAATGTCACTCAAGGCCTTGCTTGGACATTTTGTATGCTGGTTCTGGTAGCTGATAACATGAACCAATCTTCCTTGCCTAGGGAACTACCAGGACTCAGCCATGTGTATATATGGTATATCTATGTCGGTATGTGTGGGGGTAAGGATATAGTAGCTGTACATCACTAGATCACTTTCGTGGAAAAGTCAAAGCTAGAGAGACATGAGTTGTCCCAAACAACCCTTCATTACATACAGCTGTGGTGCCATTTGTTGATGTAGCCTGTTGATGGGATAAGGAGGACTGTTCTTCTATGTAATTAAACTCAGGTACAGGGAAAGTGTGAAATTTTTGGTTTTAGGTTCCCTTTCCCAGTTTGTTAAATGTAAATTCAGTACAAAACCACAGGATGATAGTTTTAATCAGTGTCAAAAAATGGACACTTGATTTCCCTTTTCTTCTAGATACAAGACATTTTTGTTGAAGTATGGTTGGAGGAATGATGAGGACAGATGATTTTTAGGTCAATTTTTGTGATAATAAGTATAAGATTTTTTTATTTATGTTTTGGCTATATCTTGATGATTGTGGGCCCAGTGTCTCCTGAGAATTAATGTGGTTAAAATTTTAGGTCCTTCTAGGTGGGCATTGGTGGCCCATGCCTTTAATACCAGTGCTAGGGAGGCAGAGGCAGGCAGATCTCTGAGTTCAAGGTCAGCCTGTTCTACAGAGCTAGTTCCAGGGCACGCTCCAAAACAATGCAGAGAAACCGTCTTCAAAAACAAAAACAAAATTATTTTAGGTTCTTCTCTAGTAGTTATTTCTAAGCAGGGAACTCCCTCTGTTTCGTCTTCTAATAAGATAAAGTATCTCTTAAACTTCTCCTCTCTCTAAGAAGAGCTTTTTGAGTATTGAAGTTAGCTGAGCATTGTACAAGACCTGGTGTGGGAACCAGGTAGATTCAGCCTCGATGCTTGCATTCTCACAAGCCAGGTCACTTACTCCTTCTTCCCCTACTGCCTTCCTGGAAATTGCCCTGGAAAGCCTACCCCCAGGCTTCCACCAGCTCTCCTTTTTGCATCCCCCAAGATGCAGCTCCCACACTGATACTCCTGTCAGGCTTCTGCCTACTGTTTAATGTGGCCTGTGCAGCCTCCCTCAGCAGGAGGAAACTAAACACAGACACATACTGCATGTTTGCATGTTCACAGGGAGTCACTTCCATCTTCATCCATGGACTAATCTCTCTCTCTCTCTCTCTCTCTCTCTCTCTCTCTCTCTCTCTTCTCTTCTCTTCTCTTCTCTTCTCTTCTCTTCTCTTCTCTTTCTTCCTTTTCTGTGTTTTTCTCTTTATATACTCTGTAGCTGCCTGAAAATGCTCAACCTGTGGTGAGTCCCTCTCTCCAGTCCACATGCAAGGGGAGCGGACCTGACTAGACTGGGATTGGCAAAGCATTAGAAATACTGAATGAATTCCACAAACCTCCTTATGTCTTAGCCACCCAGACTGGGGAGATTAGGGCCACAAGATGGGGTGGGGCAGGCCTGTACCCAGAAATCAATCTTTTCCTTCTTTTCTTTGAATCCCACCTCATTTATCACTGCACCCTCCTACCAAAAACGATCTCACGATACCCAAACTTACTTTGTTTTTTGTTTTGGTCTTTTTTTGGTTTGGTTTGGTTTGGTTTGGTTTGGTTTTTTTTAAGGTGAGTGAACTTCTTTCTTCCAATTTCTTTTCTCCCAAGTTAGGACTATTACTATCAGGAGGAGAGGGACCAAGGTTAAAAAGATAAGGTTTTAGACATTTCAGTAACCACAGAACAGTGTTCTCACCAGATAATCAATCTCACCTTTAGCAACTTGGTTTGAAATTTGGAAATAGGCTGTTTGGAGGAAATCTATAAGTGCCTTGTTGATTTTGTTAGTTTTTCACCCGTAATAAGAGTCTCTATAAAAGGAGAACTCTTTGAAAGAAAGATCAACATGTTGGTGTTGATTGGACATTGCTGGGGTTTTTTTTTTTATGTATTTCCTTTATTCTTTGATGAAAGGATACTGGATTAAGGTTTGACAGGGATATGGCAACCTGTCTTTTCTTCCAGGAAAGGCTTCTTTAATACATATGTAGGACATATGGGGATGTGAAAGGAAAATCCCTGAAGGATTCATGTAGGTGACAGTTTGTAACCCCCCCCCACACTATTTGTACACATAAGATCATATTCAATGCTATGATAATAGCCTGCTGGATTCTAACTACTTCATTTAGAAAAATTATCTTCAGTAACTGAATTGGGCCTTGATTTCTGAACTCTGACTATCTAAGGTAAATTGTTCACAGGGGTTTGCCTAGGAATAGATATGTATTGAAGATAAAAGTTGTGTTTTATGGCAATAGAATTGGTAGTGTTAGGGTTTCAAAGAGGACATTTGACCTGTTCATGTGTCTGTGTAATCTAATGTTGTCATGGTCTATTTTTTTTTTTTTTTCTTGTGAGGTGTCAGTTACACGATCCCAATTGCAAATACTTTAGGTCCTACTCTGCTTATCCAACCTTGTTTGTGCATAGAGCTCATAGACACCTAGGGTGGCAGAGAGGAACAGGGCAAATGAAGGGGAGGCCCTGCCCAAGAGGCTTAGGTGTCACCTAGCTGTAAAGTGAATCAAACTTATGTGAAAGGACAAGGACTTCTACAGAATTCTCATGTTACTCTCAGAAGAGTGAGAGGGTGAGTGATGGCCATGAGTTCTCAGGGAAGACTCCTAGGCACAGCAGGACTTGAGCAGAGGAGGAGGAAGACGGTGTGGTGAGGAAGAGAAAACACAGAGTGCTGAGATGACATGGTACAGGAATGAAAGGAAGAAGTGATGGTCAGGTCAGAGGTCTGTGGGAAGAGTGTTTGATGGCTTGTGGGGAGAATCCTGGATGAGTTTTTTCTCTAACTTGTAAAGAATTTGTGATCAACTGGAAGGGAACTTAAGACACAAAGGGAGTCATTTGTCCTTGCTTGGCTTTGAGGAGCATATCTGTGTAGAGCAGCTCAGTAGACTTGACCTCAAGTCTGGATCCTCTTGCTGGTGGTCACCATAGAAACCAAAGGCTTTAAGAAGAGATGTGGGGTCTCCTTCCTGGTTGATGGAATTAAAAGCTTCCACTCTTGCTGAAGCTGTATAGGCCTCTAAATGCACAATATGGCCGTTCTATGCATGTATCTTCTAGTGATTTAGTGGTAGCACATGCTAATTCCTATGAATTGCCCTGGAAGAAGTAAAAGAGAATCCATTGGACATTTAGAAATGGGCCAGTATGTTTTGGGGGTGTTTTTATTTGAAAAATCAAAAATCATTATCTTAGGATCCTCCACACAGAAAGTAAAAACAGATTAATTTTAGAGTTAGTAAACCCACTGAAAATAATAGTTGAAACAGGTAAGACTGATGGGCTAGAGAGTTGGCTCAGAGGTTAAGAGCACTGACTGTTCTTCCTAAGAACTTGAGTTCAATTCCCAGCAACCACAGAGGTGCACAGCCATCTATAGTGGGATCTGATGCCCTCTTCTGGGATAAAGGTGTAAATGCAGATAGAGCATTCATACATAAAATAAATAAATCTTTAAGAAAAAAAAAAAAAGACTTGAAATACTGGTTCCTTGTGAGATTTGACTTGTCTACTTAAATACTGTTCTGGACATTTAACTTGGCAAATGTCAGTTTCTGGATCTGAAGAAATGGTTCAGTGGTTAAGATCACTGACTGCCTTTCTAGAGCAAGCATTTTCATTTCCCAGCACCCACATGATACAACCATGTGTAACTTCAATCCCAAGGATCCAACGCCATATTCTGACCAGGTGCACACATAGTAGGTACATAGACATACATGCAGACAAAATACCCATACACATGAAATGAATTTTAAAAATTTAAAAACAAATGTCCATTTCTAATATATATGTACAGATTTTTTTCTTGAATTAAAATAATTTATTCAGTTTCTAGATATATATGTGTGTGTAGGTGTATGTATATATATGTATGTATATAAAACACTTTGATTCACACTGATTAATAGTACTTTAGATGTTATTGATATACACAGGGCTGGTTGGGACACACACTATGTATGTATTGAAACAAAGTCTCCTGTAGACCAGGCTGGCTTCAAACTTGATATGTAGCCAAGAATAACTCTGAACTTTTGACCCTTCTTCCAACTGTCTAGCTTTGGAATTACAGGCATACATTGCCAGATTTTGAAGAAAATATTTTAAAACTCTCTTCAAGAAACCCCTATCTCACTAGGCAATTGTGGCACATACCTTTAATCCCAGCACTTGAGAGGCAGAGGCAGGTGGATCTCTGTAAGCTCAAGGCCAGCCAGCCTGATTTACAAAGTGAGTTCCAAGACAGCCAGGACTGTTACTGTTACACAGAGAAACCTGTCTCAAGAAAGAAAAGAAACTCCTGTCTCAAAATTCCACATTTTATTCATGAATTTCAATTCACATTGCTATCTGTGTAAATGTTTATTTCTACAGTCTAAGAAACTTTCTCAGTCTAGATATGGTGATACATACCTATAAATCCTAGAACTCTGGGAAGCTGAGACCAGAAGATTGCACAATTGAAGTCAGCCTTGGCTATATAATAATGAGTTCCTGTGTCAAAAAAGAAACTTTATCCAATTTTTTCCCTTAGAAAATATAGTAACACAGGTGGTGCACACCATTAATGCTGACACTCGGGAAACAGGCAGATGGAGCTCTGGGAGTTCGAGGTTGGTCTGATCTACAGAGTGAGGTCCAGGACAGGTTCCAAACTTACACAGAGAAACCCTGTCTGGAAAAACTTAGAGGGAGAGGGAGAGAAGAAAATAAAGTAACACAAGAGATCTAAAAGGAGCTGGGCAGTGGTGGCGCATGCCTTTAATCCCAATACTCAGGAGGCAGAGGCAGGTGGATCTCTGTGAGTTCGAGGCCAGCCTGGTCTAGGAGAGCTAGTTCCAGGACAGCCTCCAAAGCCATTAGAGAAACCCTGTCTCGAGAAACCAAAAAAAAAAAAAAGATCTAAAAGAAGAATGATCAATTGCAGGGGAGGAGGAGGTGGGAGTATGGGAAATGAGCAGTAGTGTTTATTGTATACAAATATCCCTTGCACTAAAGCCTAGGAGGTGGGCTGGAGAGATGACTCATTGGAGTACCTGCTGCTCTTCCAGACAAGATAGTTTCATTTCCCAGCAACCACACAGCAGCTCACAACTGTCTCTTAAGTACAGTCCTCAAGAATCTGATGCCTTCCTCAAGCTTCTGTGGGTACCAGCCACTCAATATGATAGACAGACAGACATACAGGCAAAAACACTCATACACATAAAATAATAAAAGTTATTTTAAAGAACCGTGGAAGGATTAGATAAGAGATTGAAGATAGTTTGTTAAGAAAAAGTTTTCTTTCAAGGATCAAGTGTCTGAGCTATACTTACAACTTTATTCTCCTCCATCATCTGTCATCTTTGACTTATGCACTGCCTTCTGCCCACCCTTCTCATTTTCCATTTGTCATTTCTGGAAAAATTATACCTTTTGCATCAACCTTGCCATAGCCCTCAACATCCCTTTCTCCCATGCCTATACAACACCCACACTTCCTAGTCCAAAGACTGGAGTAAGAGGGGCATCTTCAGGGTTAGGGGGTACCAATACTGCCACTCTTCTACAGACTATTCCCCCAAGAGATGGCACTTGGAGGGCCTCAGCCTCGACCTTAAACAAACCAGTTACTAACCCTGTCTGGAACAGTGGCAGTCTTGGATAACTTGGGGAATTCCCTGTGACCAGAGTTCCCTGAGGATTAGCTCCTGGGCTTTGGGCATTGGTCCCCTTGGGTGATTGGTACCTGTGCTCATGTCATGAAATAAAGGCTCACCCTTTATGAGCTAGAGCTTCTGCTTACTCCAGGCATTATGTCGGGGATAAAAACGAGGCACAAAGAATCTGTAATCATTTGTTGGCATCATGTGACTGCCAGGGTTCTAGATTTCACACTTTGCTTGAGATTTATTTGCCTCAGTTTAGCCTCCTTGCCTGCTGGCCAGTGAGCTGCATTGAAATGCTACTGGTATCAAGGGGCACTCAGTGCAGGCTATTTTTTTGTCACCCTGAACACCCTCCGTCTTGGTTCTAGACAAAGATGGATTGTCTGGGTTTGATGTTAGTCTAGAAACAAAGCCAAAGCCTTCTTCCAGAAATGCCTGTGGCAGCCATGTCTAGTGGACAGCGTTTTGATAATCAGATGGAGTGGCTACAGCTCAAATCAGATGTTACCTTTAACTTTCTGACAGACACAGCCTGTTCCAGTGTATGTGTACTGTAGATGGTGGGCGGCCATGTGTGTGGGCACCAGGAGAAAAAACCACACGTCCTGCAGTAAGCAGAAGCAGGCAGAGATCTGCTGGGAGCTGGAGACTTCTATACTGACTAAAATGTTCTTGTGCTCCAGGTGCTGCTGTTTCTTTAAGAGGAAAAGGAAGAAGACTGCTCAGCGACATAAGTGACCAGTGCCTCTCCCGGAAGTCCTCAAGTCCTGGGGACTCTGGCTCCTATTGCACCTGCAGCTCCTGCCATTTCTCATTGGAAGGGACTCCTCTGTGGGGGAGGGTGGAGATCGAAACCAAAAAGAAGAAAACAGATGCCCCCAGAAGGAGCCAGTGCAGGCAGCCAGGGCCCAGTGGGCCAGTGGCAATCCCCTGTGTGAGCTCTGAGCGGGTCCAGAGCTGCTGCTTCTCCATTGCTTGCCCTTGGGCTATCTGGTTGACTCTCTTCCCAATGTTTACAGTGAAGGTGTCATTCACAAAAACTCAAGGACTACTATTCTCTCCCCTCCTCTTTCTTTACTCTTGGTTCTTACACCACCCTCAACCCTCTCCAGCATAAAAACTACTAAGCTAAAGGCTCTGTCAAGAAGCTGGTGGTGTGGCCAAGAAAGTAGAAGGAAGATGACAGACGTGGGCTGGAGAACTTCTCCACTTCCCAGGTGTGTCTAGTGGTGTGGCTTCCTCTCCCTCTGCCTGGGTGACCCCCAGCCCAGCTGGCCACAGGGTTCAGGTTCCTCCCTCTTCCCCTCCCTCCTGTGAATTTACACTGTAGGACACAAGCTGTGAGAAATCTGCAGTCTACTGTCCCTGTGTGTTGGCGTTCTTAGCTTTTGATAAGCAAATCCCTTGCTCGACTATAGCAAACAGGCCTGTGGCTCTGAGCAAAGGAGAGGAAACTGACTTTATTGCACTTTTAGTTTTGGGGGGTTTTGTTTTTTAAACAACATGGCAGATGCATATTGTGTCTGGTTATATTGGGGGGGTGCTTTCTTTCTGTTTCAAGGGGGATGGGCCAGCCAAGCCATTCAGAGAAAATGTGGGTCCAGAGGACATTCTTGATGGAAAGAGTCTGATTTGCAGCACTTGGAAGAGAAGAAGCCAAACTCCATGTCATCCTGAGTGAATTCTCAGGTTGACGAGAAAACATACTTGAATTTTCATTTATCCTCTCCACTGCAAAGAAAAGTCCCCACCAGAGCCCCTGACCTAATCAGCCCAGAACTTGAAAGCCCTGCTCCTGAGCACTTGGGATGAGCACCAAGCCAGACTGACCAACAGAAGGCATCTCATCTCAGAGAGGAGATACTTAACAACAAAGCAAAATTCCTGTTTCCTCCACTGCCAGGGACTTCCTGCTAGATAGCCATGCAACTTTCAGTTGACTTGGGGGACAAAATTAGTGACTAAACCGCCACCACCATATTGCCAGTAGTGGACAAAATAGGGTGACCAATCTGCCTTCCAACTTCCAGAGAAGCCTCAGGATGCAGCATCCTAGGGCCAGGAAAAGAAAATCAGTGTCTCATGTCTGCCCCAAGACTGAGCTAGTGCATCTAGGTTGGTCTGCCTTGGAAACCAAGCCTGTGATGATCTTGGAGCAGGTCCATAGGAGCAGACTTAGAACTTGATATACAGGGCTGCAGTAAGCAGGGAAGGTAAGACTGGTTGGTGCTGGGAAATTGCAGGGAAAAGGAAACTAATGAAAGGTCTAACATTCTATCTTAACAGAGACTCTTTGCAGATACTATGACCATATATTAGCATGTTTCCCCCAGTACACTCTACCTGCTGCCACGACATCTTCACTGGACCTAACTACCAAGGAGCATCACTGGTTGCATAGTTAACTGTGTGGGAGTTACTCTTCTCATGTTCTGTTTTCATTTTAGTGACATTTCCAAACAGTGACTTCTTAACCTAGTTGTGGCAGAGGATTATTCATGTGGACAAAGAGGTTTTTTTTATCTGGGTGTAAAGACTTACCCACAGAGGGCAGCAGCTAGTGACTTAGTGCAGTGCAGAACTCTGCTTTTATATGTAGACGGAGGATGCCAGGACTCTGGTCAGAAATAGTATCAAATGAAGCAGAGTTTATGCTCCTTGCCTGTTCTGTTGGACATTAGCGAGGGAAGCTGCTCAGCATTTGTAAAGATTGCCACCTGGACATTTCTTTACAAGAAATGTTTTTGTCCGTGAAACAGAGTAGCAGGGAAAAGTCAGGTCAAACCCCTTCCCCACAAGGAATTTGAGTGTTTTATTATGTAATAGTAAAAGCTCATTGCTGAAATTTACATAGTCCCTCATTTGGCATGTGGGCAACTCTGACTTTCCCCTACAGAAACTTAAAAATCCTCATCCCAGAAAATAGTGGCAAGGCCTAGGGCATCCTGGCACTCTCTGTCCCACTAAGTGCCTCCCCAACCCTGCTTCCACAATAAAACAAAGGCAGTGACCAGCTTGGCTGCAGGGTACAGTACCCTGGAGCTGGGCCTAAGACTTTTTTTTTTTTTTTTTTTTTTGTCTTAAAATATTTTTATAGGCTAGCTCTTGAGGGGTTGGATCGGAGTGGTTTGTGGAAGTGGGGAAGGGTCCTTCCTAATGCACTGTTGGCACCTTCCATCCTCCACAAATCCCTTACTAGATGTTTGGGTTGTAGCAGAGGTCCCTTTACCATGCAGGGTGGTGGTGATCCTTTCAAGGCCATTGACACTCCAAGGTGGTCTGGTCCCAAAGCTGAGCAATTCTCTTACATCTTCCTTAAAATTAAATATACTGAATTCCCCAGAAACAATCTGCTCATCTGTTTCAGCCCCAGCAGCACATCAGGCTTCATATGCATCCTTGTTTCTGTCAGTTGCTGGCTGCAAGCTCAGCCAAATCCCAGGGCACAGGCACTCCCTCCATCTCCCCTCATCCAAGTCCACTTGCTCCATCTCAGTTATAACTCCTGAGGACAGTTTTAGGGACATGTGATAATTGTACTATTTGGAGTTTCCTTAAGCTTTGCTATCCTTGAGGCATTGCAACCTGAGCAGACTTGGGTACAAGCAGGCCAGGGGTTACACCAAGGTGTAAAGCGTCCAATTATACAAGTGAATTTTCAGAGTTCGCACTCATGACTGCCTTAATTAACATTCTTCTATTTTGGGTCTGTCTAGGAGCAAACAGGGTCTGTGAAGGTATGTGTAAATCAGGTGACTAGGTAAGTCTCCAGTTAAAATTCTCATCTTAATTGGAACAAATTACAGAGACAGCAAGGATCCTAAGATTTCTGAAATTATTAGTTACCTTTTCATTTTTAATGAATGGCATAGAACTCAAAACAGCCCATGTCCTTAGCCAGATATGTCCACCTTCTATAAAGTGGCTTCCAGTTTACTACAGAGGAAAAGTATGCTGTAGTGCTTATTACATGTTGATGTCCAGTATCAGCAACCACTTGTAATGACAGAAGTATAAAGCAATGGTAATGTCAAAGTGGTTGCTAAGGACCATGGCCTTAATTTAAAAATAATGTAAAAGATAATCCATCCCCCTCCATGTTGATCAAGCATGGCTGCATTTCTCAAAGGAACTTGGTCTTTATCTTCCAATGCATCCCTCCCAAGCCCCCATGACTCCTGTGTCCCAGCCACCTCTTCCATGTTCATACTGAAACCAGTTTTCCATTCCCGTTTAGTTGCCCTGGTAATGCTTTGTCCAGTGTCAGTCATGCCGGGGCTTGAGTTTTTAAGACCAGGAGTTTGCATGGTCATACAACCAACATTGCCTTTGCCAAGCCACTGCCACCATTCCCTCCATTGCCCCAAATGGGCAGGTTGGTTCCAGAGACCCTCAGGGAGCCAGGATAATTAGTACCCAAATGGATTGGCCATGTGGGTGACAAGCACTTATCTCTGGGTTTCTTGATTTTTGCAGACTTCAAGGAAGTCCCATGTAGCTGTTGATGGCCAATAATTCTAGCCTTCCCCATGATGGGTTGGTAGCAATCAAATAAGAATTCCTTTGTTTGTTGAGGGGCAAAGGGGGTTAATTTCTGAGTATGAGAAAGGAGAGGCCACTATGGTCCTCCTGTGAGCTTGTAGAGTTTTGAGCAGTGTTTTCATCTGATCTAATAACCAGTCTTAAGGTATTTGTCCTACTCCTTTTGCAGGTAACTAAGTACAGAAGAATAGAGTTTTTATTGTACCAAAATAGTTAGTAGATCCCTGGATATAGGCAATAGTAGTTGACATATTTTCTCAAAAAATTAATCAGGAAACCCACTCCAGTATTTACACATCAGCTTATCAAGGGAAAAAAAATAAAGGTGAACATTTACTCCATATATCTCTAGTTCAGTTACCAAACTTGATGTTATGGACACCTCAGTTGTGCGGGCAGGAGCTATCTCTCTATTTATCTCTCTGTCACACACACACTTTTTCTCACTGTCTTCTCCTTCCCTCCCCAACTCCCCTTTGCCCCACCATCACAGTCGCTTTTCTGGTGCCATCATCACCTTTAAGGTCTCAGAGCAGAGATTATCTGTGGTAATAAGCCAGAGTGCATTGCAGTCATCCCAGCAATCAGACAACTGCCATTCTGACTAACCCAAACCCACCTTTCAGGGTGGGTGAAACATTGTGGTACCCCTGTTTGGGAGTTCCAGACCAAATCGCAGGCTAGCCCGTGCACCAAAGCCTTTTAGAAGGCTTACAATCTGTTAGGAATGTCTCAGGAAACATGAGCCATTTCTTGGGGGATACATATATTTACTGATGGATAATGTGCACTCATCTGTGTGTGTTTGACTCTCATAGACAGCACAGGCTCCTGGGAATTATGTGTTCTCAGAGACAGTGTGACAAGTGAGCTGCTCAGATCAATGAGCAAGCTGACTCTGGGAAGGAGCCTTGTTTATTAAACAGAGAACGGAAAAGATGAAACCAAAAATGTTATACCCTTCCAATGGAAAGTAATGTTGATGCAGCAATTCCCATTGGATATATTATACTCTCTAATTTATTATGTCTTTTTTTTTAAGTTTTACCCATTGTATGCTTTAAAAAATGTTGGGATGTTGGTTGCAATTTTTTTAAGTAGATGATGTATAAATCAGCTGTGGAAATCTGTTTTAATTCATGTGTGGATGTATCTAGTTGTTAATGCCTTTTTTCTACTTTTTTTTTTTTTTTTTTTTTTTTTTTTTAAGATATATGTTTCCTAAACCCTGGCACTGGTCAAAAAAAAAAAAAAAACACAGCTGTGAAAAATGTAACTTTTAGTATTTTTTAAATGAATGTCAATTTCAAGTGTATTTGAAATGTTTCCTATAATAGAGAGATTTGGACACCATTGGGGAAAACTCCTCTGCAGAGGAAATAGCCTTTGAAGAAAATGGGATGTGGGTCTGGATGTTATCTCAGAGTAGCCCATTTCATGGGCACCATGGACAATACAAATGTGATCTTTAAGTATACCTCTTCCCCAGTTTGGGGAGGAAAGGACTCAGTTTGCACCCTTTTTGTATGTAAAATAAAATGTCCTACCTTTCTTGGCTACATTTACTTCCTTGGTTCATTAGTTGGTTTTTTAATATTCCCTGGTTTATTTCTAAGACTCTGGCAAGGACTGACTAATGGAAATCAATGTCTTTGAACAAAAACAATGTCTGCTAATTTGGGATTCTGCCTTCATTCCTTGAGCCAAGTGTTGGCCTCTCCTCTGAGTCTCTTTAAAAATAATTATTCCAGGGCCAGCAAAATGGCCCAGAGGGTAAAGAAGGTACTTGCTGGCAACCTGAGTTTAATCCCCAGAATCCATGTTTTGTTTTTGTTTTTTTTTTTTTTTTAAGGTAAAAAGAGAGAGCTGAATCAGTTATCCTCTGACATTCATGTGTGCCATGGCATACACCACTG